GTATTTGCAGGTGCTGTGAGCGATGTTGAGATGCAGGAACATTATGATGAATTCTTTGAGGTATGTTAACTTACTGATTAAAATAAATCATAATCTTTAGACAATCTTGATGTTGCAAAAGTGAGTAGTTTATGGCAATGCCTATTGCAGAGGAAGCGGGGGGAGGGGTGGACAAAAATGTAAACTTTCAGTCTGGGACTAAAAACAACAACAAAAGCCCCAAACAGCTGCAGCTTTATTATACTCCTGATTTGTTCATGAACCCCTCACCTTCAATAGGGGGATTGAGAACCTAATCCTGCAAAGACTCTGGGGTCTAGAGTATTTTGTTCCAAGAACCTATTCTTAATGGATGACTAGAATATAATTCCCTTTGTTCACCTATACCTACGTGATGTCAAAATATACTTCAGTCTTGGTGAATAAATTTGTAAATGGAATAGACTGAAACATTGGATCGGCTTTACTTTCTTAAAGCTGTGTGTGTGAGAGCAGTCCAAAACACTGATACGTTTCCCAAATACAAAAAAAGAACAATTTTTATGGTTCATTATTTTATCCAAGTAATAGCCACTGTGTGCTAGATGTTGCCTAGGCATGTCTAGAAAACCATGCAACAGGCATGTAGAGAGAGAACTGTTTTTCCTGCTTGGCATTAATCATCTGTCTTTTTATGTGGAGAAGTTATTTAACTTGCACAAGATTTTTTTCAATCGGTTCTTCTATATTTAGGAGGTCTTCACAGAAATGGAAGAGAAGTATGGGGAAGTTGAGGAGATGAATGTTTGTGATAACCTTGGAGATCATCTAGTTGGAAATGTGTATGTCAAGGTAGGACACAGGAACTCCACAGATATCATGAATTCTGATTTTCTTTAATGCGTACAGTTAACATTTGCAAAAGCATGATAGCATTCTAATGAAAGCATGTAACTTTACAGTCTGGTGATGTGTTGAAGTTAGAATCCAAACCAGGGACAATGGAAAGGCAAATGTTATGGGGTATAGAAGAAAGTTTAAAAAGGATGCACTCTTAAAATAATTTTGCTTATGAAAACAAGGCCATTTTCTCCTTTTTCTAATGATTATAGTTGCCAGAAGTGTGTACTGTAAAAGTAACTTAAGAAATTTGCAGTTAAATGGTAATTGCTGGACAAATCCACTTGGCTGCTATGGTTCACCTATTCTACATGCAGTAGATTAGGGTGTTATATCTGTGTTGCGTCAGAGTTGACAGTAGTCTTCTGTAGGGTTTAAATTATGGATTGTATTGGGTGGTTTGAATAGGAATGATCTGCCTCAAGAGGGGGGTTAAACTAGGTGATCTCTGGAAGTCCCTTCCAGCTCTACTTCTCTAACTTCCGTATAAACCTGAAAATTAGAAACAGGCTTAATTGGTCAGCTACTTGAAAAATATTTTTGGTCTTGCTAACAGTTGAGTATTGGAATGCAAATAACCTTCTTAGTCTTTTCACCTTGCTCAGCCTGGGCATAAAGCTAATTTACATATATAATGTGGTTACCTCTATTCAAACTGTCATCTCTGTTTAGCATACAAATGAACGGTATTTGTACAAGCCTAACATTTTTAAAAAAACGAATGCTGGATAGTCACTATTGCTACTTGAATATGAGGGTGGCTGTGTTTAATGTGTCCCAAATTTTAGGTGCTACCCTTAACCTTTAGGGTTGTTAATTGTAGCCATGTTGGTGTAAGGATATAGGCAGACCGAATTCTTTGGGTAAATGTGATCTCTTTTATTAGACAAACAAAATAGTTGAAAAATTGTTCTTTGCAAGCTTTTAGGCACAAACACCTTTCTTCATGCATGGGGAGAGTCTGTTGATGTTTTGTGTGCTCTCCTGGGTAGTTTGATTAATAACAAAAAATTGTATGCCTGCTTTCTGCTTTTTCATCCTTGGCAGTGTTATAAATACTGAAATGTAGAAATATTTAGTTCAGGGGTAGGCAAAATATGGTCTACAGGAGGGACTTTGTCCAGCCCGCAGTGGGTCCCTTGGTCTGGCCCTGCCCGCCTGCTGTCTGGCCCACAGCACTTCCTGCTGCCCTCTGGTTATGCAGCAGGGTGGGGTGGGGTGGCTCTGCATTTGGACTGCCTTTCTAGGCAGCCCGGGTGGGAATGGCTCCTTCCAGTTGCTGCTGCCATTGGCCCCAGCCTTGTGGTACTGGCAGGGACCCATGTGCACAGCCCTGACCCTGGCCCGCCCCGTGTCCATTCCGGACTCGCTCCAGCAGAGCAGCCCAGCTTCAGACCACCCAGAACATGTGCACAAAGCCCTGCCCCACCCTGCACCTGCTCCATACTCACCTGCCCACGCTGAGTAGTGGCAGCAGTGGTGGCAGCAGAAGTTGCTGCTGGGTGTGGGGGAAAAACAGCCCCTCCCCTTAGCTGCTGCCAGTTCCTTCTTGCTGCAGGCACCCTGAGCCTGCTTTTGGGCTGCTCTGCAGCTCTTTTGCACTGCCACTGCTGCCCTGCTGGGCAAGCCAGAGGTGGCGGAGAGGAGTAGCAAGGCAGCCTGGGCATGGGTTCTTGCAACTTCAGCAAGAAGGGCCTGGCAGTGGTGGGGTGGGAAGTTTCCCCCATGCTGCTGCTTGGCTGCTGCTCAGCATTGGCTGGGTGGTCCAGAGTAGGCGCATGGCAGGCCAGGTCAGGGCCGTACATGCAGATTCCAGCTAGTCTGCTCTGGGCCAAGTCTGGAGCAGGAGCTGGGCGGGCTGGGGTCAGGGTTTTGTGTGTGGGTCCCCACCAATACTCCGGGGCTGGGGCCAGTGGCAATGGCAGCCAGAAGGAGCCACCACTGCAGCCTGGGCTGCCTAGAAAGGCAGAGCAGACCAGGGTCAAGGCTGGGGCTGTGCGCTGTTGGCAGTGGTGGGGAGGAGCCACAAGGTGTGTGGGCTCCAGAGCAGGAGAGGGGGTGCTGACCAGCCCACAGCAGCTCCCCGGAACTGCCTGTGTGGTCCGTGGACCCAAATAATTTCCCACCCCTGACTTGGATGATCCTAAACTTGTGTGCTTAAAAGTTTTTAATAAACCTTAAAACTTGGGGGATAGCTGATTTGAGCCCTAATTATCAAATATCCTTAAGCTGATTTCATGTTTGTAGACAGTAACTTTCAGGCATCTGAATGAGGTAGTATGTGGCATACTTGCTAGACTAGTTAGTGTCTTGAACATTAGTATTCCGCAAAGTCATGTAAATTAATACTTATCTGGGAAGAGAAGATTGTCAGACCTTTTGCCTGTTTACTTAATATTGTTTGCTCTTTAAATCAAATGCACTCATGTCTTTGAGTTACAGTGCTTTAAAAGTAAAAGTAAAGCCAAATAAAATGTGGAATAGAGAATTTTTAAGGCTTTTTAGGCTCATTTTGAACAACAGTTAGTGAAAAGCCACATCATACTTGCACTTGCTTCAGTGGTCAGTGGTGTTAAAAAAAATTTTCAAGTGGTTAGTTGGTTCCAAATGACCTGCTGGGTACTCGGTCATTGATTTGGTGGGAATAACTGAACTATTTCTGTGCAGCCTCTTGAGAAATTGTTGTGGCTCTTTATTTTATTTAGTTTCGTCGTGAAGAAGATGCAGAAAAAGCTGTGATTGACCTGAACAACCGTTGGTTTAATGGGCAGCCAATTCATGCTGAGCTCTCTCCTGTGACTGACTTCAGAGAAGCTTGCTGCCGTCAATATGAAATGGGGTAAAAAAATACCTCCCCACACTTTCTTTTCATAATAGCTTGCATGAAAAACAAAGCAATCGACAAATGCAGGGGAGAACCTTAGAGTAATACTGACATGCAGAGTAGGTGCAGTTCATGGGCTGTAGTATCTATTTGCATTCGGTCTCTTCGTATCCATAAATTTTGGTTCTCGTTCAGACATGGGGCACATAGCTAGTTCCTGTGAATCACAATCAAGCTGAATTGCCACTTCTGGCCAGTTGAAATGTTTTACCAAACAGATGTTAAAATGATATTAAAAATGAGAGTTAAAATTAGTGGACATGGCTAAATAACCACTCAGACTTGGTACAAAATTTTATACTAATTAATTTAGTACAAAAAATTGACAGTGTAAGGAGGAAAGAATTTCTTTGTGCTAACTTTTTTTTTTCTTAATTTTGTTTCAGAGAGTGCACACGAGGAGGCTTCTGTAACTTTATGCATTTGAAGCCCATTTCTCGAGAATTGCGACGTGAGTTATATGGACGTCGTCGTAAGAAGTGAGTATTTGTAATTGAAGTTAAGCTCCAACTGATGGGAGTAATTTAGCTGTTTTATTTCCTAAACATTTTTAAGAAAAACAATAAGATTTAACTTGAAAAGAATTTAAGCTTTTGCTTGCTCTCCTGTTGCATTTATGCCTTAAAGTCATCTATTATTCATAGATGTTCAAAATTTTATTCTGGCTATTTTTACTACTTCATGACAAAATTAAAGAACCAAAGCTAGTGTTATCAGAGGATCTAGAAAGGAAGTCTCCCACTTCACGTAACTGATTGTGAGTTTAGGATGTGGGCAGAAACTGGAAAGGATGTCCTGAAATTTAGCCATACCACAAGTTGATGCTAGCATCACAAAACTTGTAACAGTTAGTACTCCTGTTCCTGTCTTTGATAAGGGTTCTAGTATTGATAGTTTCTGAACTAAAAGAAATTGTAGTTATGCAATATTTAGTGTAACTTGCATCTTTGTGAAGCAAGTCTCTTTAACTGTCTTGATAAACACCTGAAGTTATTATGATTGATGTAAAGGTGGCAAAGGAAAGTGAACGTCACAGAATGGCAAGAAGCTTCTGATAAACTGGTGAATGTGAAGTAAGTTTACCTTGTGGACAATTTAATACTGCTTCTATCAATGCAATATGCATCTTCTTCATAAGACTTCAATTTCCACTGCAACCAATTTGACACTTGTTCCCCTCAAATATACAAAACTAGTGTTTAAAAATGCTATAAATGTCTTGGAGTATTTTAGGGATTAGAAAGTGCTTTGCAAAAAGTATACATTGTATCGTTTGTGCAAAAAAAAAAAAAGCTGAGTAACTGCTTTAATGAGAATTCCCCAGTTAAATACGAGTCCATCTGAGATTGCAGGCTAATGTCTGTATCGGCTTTGATATTTATGCTAAGAACCTTTTAAAATAAAACGTCAAAATGTTATCAATTTAGGAGCCATATGGTCACTTTTCTGAATTTTGACCTTTTTTCCCTTTGCCAAACACTCTTCCTGCAGTGAGAACTTTCACTTGTCTGTATCTGGCCTTGGAATGTGGCAGTTCCCCAGTATCCCAGTTTCCACCTCTGTCAGCACAAACAGCAATTTGATGCTCTTCCCTCCCCCACTTTACTTATCTTAGGCTGCAAATAAATAATCTGAAACCCAAGTTGACCCATACTAGCAATGAGCTTTGCTATAAGGAAACACGGTTTGGAACTGTTCCCTTTTGAGTTTGTGAATTGGACTTTAAATGGATCATGCAAATAGTTTAGCCATAATGGGACTGAAGCTTGTGCCAAACATCTCAGAATCAAAGGGACAATAAAGTAAATGGTCAACACAGAGCACTTTTTTCATTTTCTGCCTGCTACAAGCATGCCTTCTTTTTAAGGCACCAGTTTCTCCTGTATCACAGCAGAACCAGTCTTTTTGTCACATTGATCACTGAACTCTTCTACAATAATAAACTTGGCATGTTCAGCAGTTGGGGTGAACACAGAATATAAGTTCTTATGTTAGCCCTACACCATACTTCTAAATAAAATAGCATACCCTTGAAAGCTTTGAATGCATGATTTTATATTCTGGTTGGTATAAAACTTTTTTTTTTAGTATATTTGTGACCTGTGCACTTCCTGCCCCTAAGAAACATGGGTCCATAGTCTGCAACTCTGCAGTAACTGTGGCAGAGCTGCATTCTCTGTGGTGATAGAACTCATTGTTTGACCTCCTCTGTGGTAGAGAAAGTAGAGGCTGGAGAGGAAGTGGCTATGTGCTAGTTACTTGGGTACATTGCTACTGGAGAAATTGATACAGAAAATCCTCATTTTTTAATTTTAAAAAGTAAGGCCTCTTAAATCTGGGCTGCCTCTTGTAAACAGGAATTTCCAGCATACATGTAAACAAAGAAATTTATGTGTATGAAATAGAGGAATTGACTGGTTAATGCTTTCTCGGATGTCTAATATGTTTAATGAAAATTATTTCAAAAGGGCTGTAGATTTGCTGTGTTCAGGAAAACCTGCTGATAGCTGTAAAGATTTTCCCTTTTCTTACTTCTACAACCTGTTATGTACTAGTACAGTTAGAGGGAGGAATCTTGCTGTCACTGAGCCTTTTGCTCGCCATTTGGACAAGAAATCTAACAGTGTTTGCCAGCCTTTGATAGGTGTGCCCCGACCCTTCCTGAGCGCCATCCTCATCCTTGCCCCCTCAAAGATGTACCTGATAGTTTGCACCCTGGGCTGGCGGAATGGAGGTGCTTGGGCCTCACGTGCTAAAAACCAAGCAGCTGCCTGTGCCACTTGTGGCATGCATGCCATAAGTTGGTTACCCCATATCTAATAGTTAACAGCAGTCTTCATTACACATGTGGACTCTTGCAATTGAACTTCTTTCTGTGGTCTTGCAGACCACACCTGCCTGAGTGCTATCTTATTACTGCTTTAGTTGATCTTTGAGTTCTCTGTAGGATGTTACTGACATATTGAATGTGGTAAAACATTTATGTATTACAACTTTTTTGAAGGCATAGATCCAGGTCAAGGTCCCGTGAACGTCGTTCTAGATCCAGAGATCGTGGTCGTGGTGGCGGTGGCGGTGGCGGCGGAGGAGGAGGTGGAGGACGGGAACGTGATAGGAGGCGGTCAAGAGACCGTGAAAGATCTGGTCGATTCTGAGCCATGCCATTTTTACTGTATGTCTGCTAGAAAGTGGTGTAGTTTGACCAAACAAGTTCGTAATGAGATTTTTTTTTAAAGAAGGGCTTCTGAATAAAAACTTGTAGTGATACAGTATTCTTTGTGTAACTTGTTTCTTGTGGGGGAAGTCTTTTTAACTGTCATTCCTCTATCTTGACAAATACCTGGAATTAACTATGCTTGAGTTAAAAGGTGGCAATTGTATTAGAGGTGTGCCAGTCTTTACATTCAGGTATGAATTGAACTGTTAATGAAAATGCATGTATATAATATAAATTATATACATGGGGGGACAAATATACTGCTTAAGAAAGTTACCCACCTAAATTTTCCTTTTCTGCTATGCTGTCTGCTTATTTAGGTTAGTTTAGGCACACTTAAAGGAAGGCTGTGTGAAGTGCTTTTATTTACCCAATAGAAATGCTTAGTTACAAAATATGTATGTTTGTTTGTTACTAGAAGTCTGTGCACTGTCTATCACTGTGACTGTGGCATTTACAATAAATCCAGTTCTTTGGTGTAAAATCTAAAGCCTATTCTCTAAGCACTGCAGAGTAGCTGAGTTACTACTCTTGGCTTTGCCAGAATTCATAGTTAAATTTTACTCGGGATTCTATACATACATGCACACACACTTCTTGAATAATAGCTTAGAAAGAAAATGTATCTAGTGTAGTGTGTAACTTTAAAATTATGAAGTGTCCTCTAGTAAGTCAGCACGTTATGATGCCAGAATGCATGTACCATGCAGCAGGGTAATTTCTGGATAAGGATATCTAAGAAGAAAAATTCAAGAATCGAAGCTGTCTTTTGCTCCATGGTCCATTAACTGTTTGATAATCAGTAAGTTGGACACCAGTTTAAAGTAGTATATCTTCTCTAACTCCCTTGTCACCTCCAAGATGCCTGAAATGGGTTCAAAGTATTTGTCCTACCTATTGCATTTATAGCGCAGCAAGTTAATGGACAAAGGGTGTATCTACACATGCTATTAAGATGATGTGATAAACTCTGGCTCAGTTTACACGGGAATCAGCTGCTCCTAGGAGCAAGTATCTCCATGTGTGCCTGGTAACAGCTCCGAGGTGACAGGGCACAAGGAATCAGCCCTGGGCAGCTGTGGCAGTGTCAGGGCTGACCAGTGACATGAGAGTACTAAAGTGTGGAGCTAGACAGCAGGCAGACCCTGCACCCTTGTGCCCTACCCAGCCTCTGTCACCATCTGCATGTGCATTTTTGCAGAATTAAGTACTCTGCTGTAAGGTAGTGCTGTCCCCAACAGTACTGTCTTACAGCAGAGTTAATCTACCACACCCTAATACCAGTGCACATGTAGATGGTGATGCTTTACTGTAGCACTAATTAGTCAACTCTGCAAAATAAGGTGCATGTGTTTAGATGCACCCAGAAAGAGCCGTTTTAATTGCAAGTCTAATCTGTTTTTTCATTGCAATTGTAAAACATTCTTACAAATTGATACAGCATGTAGAATACATATTTTGTCATTCAGTGTCTCTTAAAGGCCTTAGAACTATAACCAAGGATGCTGGCACATATTAAAAGCTAAATAACTTTTGCAGTTCGCTGACTTTGCAAGCTGCCTAGCCAAAATTGAATTCTTGTCTGCTTATGTAGCAGTTCAAAAAACAGTATGAAAGTTTGATCTGTAGGGAGGCTGTCTACAGCCTCCTGGACCTGAAGAAATACCCAATTTAACTATATAGCTCTCAGGAGGGAGGAAACACTGTCACTGGTGTTTGTAGGTTGTCTTAAAATTGCCAAAAACACGTGTTTTAAAAATTTGAGGAACGGCTCTTAAAGTGTAATAAATATGGAAGCATGGTGATAGTGACTATTCACATTTAGTTCTTATTTTGTTAGCGCCAAAACCTGAGCCAGAGAGTTGATTTTAATTTGCTGGAACTTGGCATTGTGGACTAGAAACTAGTTCAATAATAGTGACAGAGGGAAGTAAGAATCTTGACTTCTAAATAAACTTTTGGGCCAGCTCGGAATGCAAGTTAAACCTAGCCCTGTGCCGAATGCTTCCACCAACTAGGTTTTGAAGGGTTTTTTTGTTTTGGGGGTTTGTTTTTTTTAAGACTAATGTCTTAAAAGCAACAGAATCTTTAATATGATATATAAAGATATCTTCATTATTTAAATTATGCTTTTAAGCGCATTGCAAATCAGATCCTAGCTTCCTTTCATTTGAAGGGCTTCCACACTGCCTGAAAGACCTCAGTGGTGATATTGGTACAGACTGAAACCAAGTTATTGACACAGTCCTTCATTTGGCCTCTAGGTTGGACAAAGCATTAACGTATTCCCACGTTCAGTGAGATTCAGTATTGCACTTGTGCCTCTAGGTACACTTCAACGTCCAGCAAAATCTTCCTCTACATATGCAGTGTCTAGCATAGTATGGGCATTGCTGAACTACCAAAATACGAGTATTATAGAACTATATATTGTGTATATAAGTACAAAATACTTATGCAATACACTCAGTCTTCAGTCAAGCCTTCCAATTAATCTAATACTGCCTGTTAGTGGTAAAACTTTGAATGCAAGTTTTCAAAAGGTACATTTGCTGATTATTTACACAAGCCGTCTAAAGCTGCCAATGAGGCTTAATAATTAGAAGAGAGGTTACTTTATCCCAGCCTACATTTCCCACATCTTCAAAGCCTAGAATAAGATTATTTTTTCCAAAGATACCCATTTCTCATACTTGCAAATGTCAGGATCTCTTCTGTTGAACAGAAATGTTAATTTATGGATTTCTTTGACCTCAAATAAGTGACAGCATACAGGACCTCCTGAAGTCTGACTAGACCAATTAAGACTGATAATCCCAAGTGGCTTCCTCTTTATTTGTATTAGGCTTATCTGATTATTCTGTGAAATGCTGCTTGCCCATGAATATGATGTATTTTAAGCCTGTAACACCAAATGGAGATAATTTGTTCAAAATAAAGCATTTTTTTATACTGAACATGAACGTGATAGAAATATAACCCCTTTCTTTTAGTCAGGTACTCCTTAAAACCGTGTCGTCCAGATTATTGTGAGATCACAAACTTTAAATTCCAGTTCACAACTAAACCACTGAATCCCCGTTCCCAAGTGACGTTGTCTTCTGTTTCTTAAAAAAAAAACAGCCCTGTTGGAAAATGTCCTTTTGTTTCCTAAATCCAAAAGCAATCTTTTCTAGCAACCTGTTGGAAAGTCTTCTGTATTTTCTAAGAAAAAAAGAATTGTACTTGAGTAAGTGGTGGAGGATTTCTTCAAAACTTCATATTTGATTATAGAGAACATAACTTGGATGATCTTGTGTTTACTTCAGAATACAATACAGGGGCAGCATGAGCGAATGAGTAACTAGTGTGTTGGAAGCCCAGTGCACACTTGTTCCTTGTACAAAACAACTTGTTAAATTGCTTTTTCAGCCAAGGGTCACTGAGTGCACCTGATTCCTCTGCTCACATTGCACCTGTTTATTTCAAACTTTCACGGGTAGGTTAAATCTGAATTTCCTGTCTTTGGTCTACAGAAGTATAGTTTCACCAAAGAGAGATGAGACCTCTTTGAAAGCTTTCAATGCTTAGTGCTTTTTCTGGGCTTATGGAACTTTTTTAGGCCTCTGTCTCTTCTGAAAATGAACATGGCATCTAAGTAAACTGGAAGTGTACAAGAAGACTTGCTTTTGTTTTGTTTGAATTGATAAGTTACCACATTTTAAAATAGTTGACTTGAACCTTTGTCACCAAAACTTATTCACTTGAAGAGGAAGTAGGTACATTTCTTTTGTGTCCAATTGTGGTGAGTTATTAACATTGTATATGAAAGTCAACTGAATTCATATGGGCTGAAGTGCATCCCCGTCCTTGAAAATATGGTCTGTACTGTTTTGAAATAATGATGTTGTTTACCTATCATGAGTCAGCTGACATACTTCCCTCTTGTCCATGGCCACTTAAATATTGTAATATCTGATCACAACGTGCTTTAATTAGCATGTCTGAATTTTGGGACTAATTCATATGGGCTTTTTTATAAGCTTTTTGATTTGGCTGACTACATGAAGGGTCAGCTGGGGGCTCCTTCACTTTATCCTTAACAAAGTGTGCTTAATAAGTCCCCTCTGGCTTTAACTGGGTCTTTAATTGTTGAGGATCTGTGTGATGACTTTTGTAACAACTTCCAGCATTGCAGTGTAAAGAGATTATAGAGAGACTAGAATATAGGGCTAGATTCTAATAGTTCTTATAGGAATCTAAACTGGACTTAAGTGGAATTTTACTTGCCTAAGTTGCAAAAAGCAAGTCATGTAGCACAGAATTGTGGAGGCAGCTAGATTCATTAGATACCTTCACACCTGAAAAGATTCCTTGATGCTGCCTAGACTCAAGCTTCTGGGCATGCTCATAATTGAGCCAGTTCACACAGCTATCTTACCTTCTGCCTGATGCTCTACTGCAGTGCAGACTAGAGCTGGGAGTTGCCTTCATTTGACCTGTTAGGAGCCTAAAGAGTACACCTAATGCCAGTTGGATACCACGAGCAGCATTAAGCGCAGTGGAAAGTGCAGCACTTGCATCAGCTTTCCCTCTCAAACAGGAGATAGGAATTATGGTGCTTACTTCTTCTGCAGTAGCCTGGTAATTTGAGCACTCAAATGGAGACATGCAATCCAGACTTTCTTTGTGCTGAGGGCTTTGAACCCACATGCCTAACACTGCTGATTTTTTAGATCATCCTGAATGTGCCCACAAAAGCAATCAGGATCTGGCCCAGAAGCTGAAGCAAAAATGATGTAACTAAGTTCTTTGCTCAGCATTCCCCTCTGGATCCTTAGTTTTAAATCTTTGACCTGCACCTATGCATCCCTGTTTTCCTGGTGTCCAAAAGTAACTAGTTGTAGTCTTGGATCTGCAAAGGGTTGTCAGTGTTTCTAGCACTGTTTCTTGTCCCTACCAGCAACAACATAAACAAATGAATATATAATAAAGGGTTAACTAGTACCCTGCAGTCCTTTCCCAGATCTTGAGAGTGTGTCCTGGCTCAGTGCTGCCACCTTGAAGCCTTCCCTCTTTTTCTCTTGGCTTCCTTCGCTGTGAGCTTTTAAATTCCTCTGGCCCTGACAAAGCCAATTATCCTCCTCAGCTGGCCCAGTCTTCCTGGGTAGGCCTGTAATCACTTTTTTGCAGCTGGGCAGCAGCCCTTGAAACCAAAGCCTGCCTGAGGGAAAATGGTGCCCTGGGTGAATTGTATTTTGGCCCAAGTTGTCTGTGCTGTGGCGGGGGCTAGAGAGGGGTGTGCATGCAGTGGCTATAGGTGGCAGGGGACCCCATGGACTATCATGGAGCAGTGTGTGTCTGCTCACCAGAGATGCTGGCCTGGTGCTGGCCTTCAGGGGCTCAGCATGAGGCAGCAGGCAGGGCTGCCCACACAGGAAGGGCATGCAGGTGTGGCAGCAGGCATGGCTGCCTATGCAGAAAGTCAAGCCCAGCAGCAGAGTGCTGCTGCCCACCTTTGCCCTCATTTTTGGTGGTGTCAGGTGGCTGGGGTTGGCGCTGCAGCCTGGCCTCCAACTCTAGCAGGTCATTGATGAGGAAGCCCTTTGCATACAAGCCAGGGCCATCCACCCACACTGCCTACTTGCTGGGCATCATCTCCTTGCCCTTGGCCCAGCACCCTCCTCCTACCCCACCATGCTGCCTGGCTGCATCTGCCACCACTGCTGTTGCTGCCTGGGGCTTTCTATCCAGCTGCCCTGGCCAACTGGCTTCAATCAGCTCTGGGTACAGCCAGGGGGGAAGGCCCTGCTGCTCAGCCCCCCAGGATATGTTGCTATCAAAGTCCCTTGACATCTCCCACCCAGCACGAGCAGAGCAGGGTGTGTGTGTGTGTGTGGCACTCCCCTAACCACAGTGCCTTGGGCAGTCACCCAAGCTACCCACCCCTAAGGCTGGTGCTCGACCCATGAAGCTTCCTACAGGGTTACTTTGTTATGTATGTTTTTTTTATGACAACTTTGTTGCATCAGGGGAAAGTCACTTGGAATGCCTCAAGCATTTGCAACCATTGACTCGCTTTTGAAATGAGGTCAGTTCCTGGGACCAAAAACCACATTGTGCTTTTAACTTCTGTTAGGTCTTACAGATTTCTCTATACTTGTGCTGTACTGCACCTTTATCAAACACTTCAGACCGTAAGTGTCAAACACACAGCCCCATAACCCAGCCCTGGGTGTTGTCTTGTGGCCCCACGTGCTGTTGGATTGGCCCTGTGCTACATGGGGTGCTGGATTGGGCTGTGTCCTGAGCTGCATCACCTGCAGCACTCGTTGGGGCCAGTTCTGGGATAAGCTGCTTGTGGCAGTTGCTGGGGCTGGGTCCTGAGTTGCACTGCTTGGAAGTGCTCACTCAAGTCAGCATTTTAAATCAGCCCAGGTGGGTGCCGCATTGTACAAAATGAGGCACACCCCTTCTTCTACAATCATCAAATCTCTTGATTTATGAATTATACACTTAATAGCTGAAAAACAAATCTCTATTACTGGGACGTGTGCCCAGTAGGCCTGTGCGAGTAGGCACCTATTAGACCCAGCTTCAGGTCCGTCCACTTCAGATGCCAGGGATCTGATCCAGAGCTCCAGATCAGTTTCCAGCTTCATTCCGTCTGAAGCAGCTCCAAAGCTTTGAACGGACTACTGCTGACCTGGCTGCTAAGCTAATGTGTTACTAGTTATCAATTAATCCTGATTCACTCAGGGACCAGCTCAATACACAGTACCTAGCTACTACATAATGAGTTAAGGAACAAGGATTAACACCTACAAAACCACAAACTATGGAGAGGAAATAATCAATACAGGAAATTTGGCATCTTGGTGGGGCTGGATCTTTCAGTCTTTAAGAGCCAGCCCTGTTCCCTAGCTCTAAAAGAGAGATAACAGCACTTTCCTACTGCCCAGTAGCACTGTGTGAGGGTCAGACAGAGCTTCAGATCTGGAGAAGCTTTGGATGCTTCGGGGTCTGAAGCAGCATGTCAGGGCTGAAGTGCTGCCTCATTCAGCTTCCCGAAGTGGTTTGGAGCTTCCAAAGTGCTTCAGAGCCACCTCGGAGATCTGGCAATAAGGTATAATGGGGAAAAATAAAGTATCTATAACTTTGTTGGTTTTTGTCCAATTTGGATGAAATTTTTAGGAGTGGTAGACTCTGCAGAGTGCATGAAGCCTGCCAAGTTTCAAGATTGGTGCAGGGGTTTGGGGGATCTGCCCCTCAAGCTGTGGACAAGCAAAACTCGTGCCATGGGTGACACTGCGGGTGTTAAGGGGCAGCAAGGTGACAGCTGCAGGGATGGTGGCCCCTGCTGCAGCCATGAAACCTGCTAGTTGTCAAGGAGATGGGTGCACAGATTCTGGGGCCCTGCACCCCTAGCTGCTGACTGGCAAAACTCGTGCCATGGGTGCTTGTGGGACTGACTGTCTCTGTCTTGGGGCATGGGAGACACTACTGCAGGTCTGGCTGCTAAGCTACTGTGTTACAAATTAGCAGTCAATCATGATTCACTCGGGGACCAGCTCAATACACAGGACCTAGGTAATGTAGCCAGTTAATTACCATCAATTAGCACCTACAAAACCAGACTAAGGAGAGGAAAGAATCAATACAGACAATCAACTGCCCCAAGACAGAGACAGTCAGTCCCACAAGCACCCATGGCATGAGTTTTGTCTGTCAGCAGCTAGGGGTGCAGGGCCCCAGAACCCCCCTGCACCGATCTCCTTGACAGCTGGCAGGCTTCGTGGCCTCAGCAGGGGCCACCATCTCTGCAGCTGTCATCCCGCTGTGCCTTAACACACATACTGTCACCTATGTCACCAGTTTTGCCTGTCAGCAGCCAGAGGTACAGGGCCCCAGAAGCCAGACTTCCCCTGCACCTTCTCCTTGACAGCTGGCAGGCTTTGTGGCCTCAGCAGGGGTGACC